ACTGTATACTGTTGTCTCTTGTATGGGCAGACAGTAAGCCAGATTGTATGGCTTGCACATAGGGTTAGTATTCATCCAATATGCTACGACACGGCAGTGTATTATGGCATATTTTACCATCTACCGTAGAAGTAGGGAAACACTTGACTGTCAGGAAGACTTGTGATCCACAGCAGCAAAAAAGGAATACGCACGAACAGGATAACATCACAAACTCGTGAAAGATAAGCGCTAGATTGCAGACCGTCATTGAAAGGTCAGCGGTTACAGAAAAAATAAGTACGATGTGTAACTGATTTGTATATGTTCACGACATTCATGTGCATATTTATTGAAACGAATCCCACCGCTTGTTTCCCTTCTCCTCGTGCTTCCCAAACAACAAAATCGGTTGATACGGGTTCTTTTGTTCAACGACAAAGCAGTAATACAAAAACGACCATGGACATTGCCCGACCCACTGACATGTTGTTTCAATCATCTTCGCTGTTGTATCGAAGATGACCAACCTGGCGATTCGGGGTGGTCGAAACGTGCTTGGAATCGAGGACTACCTCGATACATGTCTGCTCGTCTTCAAGAACAACTCGAGTAGGTCGCGAGGATGCACTGAACAAGCGATGCTGTCGATGAAGAAGCCTTCTGTTAACCAGGACAACAGCGATTTTCATAATTATGATGATGGCATTTGTACATCATAATCAATTAATAAAGAATAAGAAAAAATACCCTCGCAATCTTGGAAAATACACATAGTTGGAATGAATAGTGATGAGTACTGCAAGGTAGATAATAAGCTTGATTCACGGATTCGGTGATAGTCTTGGATCCAGATTTATAGTTTTAATGAGGCTCAACTTATCTGGTGCATCATTTACCCGAAGTACCGAGAGGAACAAGTGAAATGTAGAACACGGCATACATTACTCAATGTAAATTTAGGTAATTGACGGATGAATTTTGTCGGTAGATTTCTTCCGTATATGTCCCTGAATATGATGAGCCCTGTTGAAAAAAATCGATGTTTCACTAAGAGGTTGTATGTTTACAACGCTAAGAGGATACTTTCAACTCCCAGTAGATAACTCCGCCGTATTTAGCAAACGAGTAATTACGGGTGAATAATCAACAGCTTAGACTATTTTTTATACTGGATAAGATTTGAAGGTAAGTTATTACAGGAAACCAGCAACCGCATCATAAAATTGACAACAATTAAGGTAGCTAAAATTCGGTTTTCCAAACAGACAAATAAAGTAACATGACCGACGGGTTGATTTAATTTAATTATAGGCACCAAAAAAGTGGAAGACAGGAAGCATCTTGCGAATGGTTACAGATTCAAAATTCAGGTGCAGCGTACTCTTTAGATCAATATTGGGTGTGATTTATAGGCCAAGTGAGAGGACGAACAACCAGTATACGGGTCGGTGAACCCTTGGCAGTTCACCTAGGGTAGTTGGCTAAAAGCCCTGATTGCAAACCAACCAAGAAGAGGTGAACAAACCACCCACACCCCTCCCTGGTCTTGTTATTGATAACCAGCTCGATTAGGCACTTCGGATGTTTGGTCCCACCTGAAGAGTGTATGATCCGATGAACCGGACACCAGCCCGAAACAGATAAGTCTTCACACAGTCCTGCTGCCTTGCGGATCAGGCTGTGGTTAGCCGAAGGCTCTGGTTGTGAAGCCCCTAAGAAAATTCACCTGCTTTGGCCTGTGCATCCTAGTAGAACCATGACTTCGAACAAATCACGGACCATTCACTTTTTGTAAAGATTATTGTACTGTGATTTGCTTGATACTCAGTCTGAACTCAGACGTGTATGAAAATAGATTATAATGTATATGTACAGGTAATCGATGGATAGGTCATCGTAATCAGCTCCCAGGCGTCGAATCTATAAACGGTAAAACATTTGGGAGCTCACTATCAAAGTAACAAACTACCAACTAATTTTAAGGCAAGGAAAGTTTTCCCAATTGAAATCACTATCTTGCAACCACCTTTAACTAGAAGCATTAAAAAAGGATGAAAGCCATATAAAGTTCATTATTCGAAAAATTGTCTTGATGTCACCACCCTGATTAGCCAAGTGATCAAAGGATGTTGCCCATAATTATTAGGATTTCAACATAATTCATTTGTTCGAAACGAGGTCTGGTTTCATAATTTTTAAACCTTAAGGATTTTATACCTGGAGACCTCCAACAGCTATAGGAGAACTGATTGTTAATTAATTACACATCCGATGTTAGTAGATCGGAAGTGACCGTGATTAACCGCGCACCATAACACAGCATAAGGGAGGATGTTTGTACTATCCCTTAAGGTGAATACTGAGTGAAATACATACAATCAAATCGTACAATTATTAACCATGCACTTTTGTGCGCCGGTTTTGGTTCCTGACTTTTGGATGAAACGGTAGAGGAAAAATTAGAACGCTGGAGGTGGTTTCCAGGTGAAAATGGAGAATTCAAGGAGACTGGGGTTGCAAGGATATTGAGTAAATGCACGAGTGCCACTGTTTACGACACTCGGCTGATCACCGCGCACTGGTATAAGTTCATGCTAATGTTATGCTGAATAATTTGCTGTTAAGTTCAGCATTATGAACTTGCAGTCGAACTACCAGGTAGCGAACTGCGTTAATTATCATCAGGTATGAGTAACAGAAAACAGAGTAATAGCAACTATTTTTCAAATGAAACTCTCATCTTTCTGGTATGCCAATTAAAACACTAACCGAGGTTAACAGTAGCGTGTGGCAACAATAAGATCTCTCGGTTTATCGTAGGTCGTAATATCCAGTTTGGGTAGTTGATCCGTCGTTATGATTATTGATTTGTTATCAGCATGTGCGGTTTATTAGACAGAATGTATTGGCCTATGTAGTATCAATGTTCAGGTAGGTAGAAATATCAGCCTATTGCCAAACGTAAATGGGTCACTAGTCAGTTACGTGTGCAAAAGTTCGAAAATCTATCAATTTGGTTCATTCCACCGACGGTATGCTAAACCTGGAACTTATCGGGTGCAGTCAACATAACAATAAAAGGCGAAATCGTTTATTCCGGAGATCTTTCGCAGAACTGACTGAAAACGTGTAATGCGGATTAAATGGCACTGAAAAAAAAATTAGATATTCTGTGCATTTACAAGACAATCACGGAGGGATGCCACGGCTCATTTGCTTCTTTTGGTTAACCAAGCACATGTGAAAATTCTTTGATTCATTAGCCAACATTGTGCAATCCGGTCAACAAGCCCCGGGCTATTGCGGGGAGGTCAGGCTCGTAGTCATTAGGATGATATTATGGTCCAACCGATAATTTAAAAACGGACAATTTTTAAAACACCTTCAGACACATGATGGCAAATGGGGTCTCTCTGTGATGGTTACAGTTACAGAACCCGAAACATATTTCAAGTAGGGTTTTAAACCTCAAAGTATTTGGCAAAGTCCTGGAATACTCGATTGATTTCAGTCAAGCGATTCCGATTAAATACAGTTCAAGTTCAATAAAAAGAGTACAACGGAGACCAGCAAAGTGACAGCCGTAACAAAGACGAAAAAGGTCGTTCAAGTAGCAAATATGCATCATCACTCTATGCAAAACACGATACTGAGTACAACACAACATTCAAGCAATCATAAAGTCCAATTGTGTTCCTTGTGCTCGAAGATTATCAAGCACTTACTGGAAGCACCCTAGCAAAATTAGTTAATAACAGTACACCCCGCGATTGACAAAAGGTTCAAATACGCTGCAATTTTCACTTCACAGTAAAGATAAATGAAGTGTAACTCCTCAGAACGAAAAGACATAAGAGAGACCCATTTGTTGGACTAGGTAGGTTATATCACACAAAAAAGGATGAAACAAGCTCAGCTTAAACATAGTCCGCGAAGTATGATTACGGCCACCCATTGGTAGACCGTGAGTGCTATTGCATCGATAATCCTCTCACTAAATTTTGCTCCTGTTCGTGACATACGCCAAGCCGGGGGGGGGACACAAACAACGACTGTTAATAAATCGTCGAGAGGATGTAAATTTCAAGAGCAATACTGCTTTTAATTGTGACCCCCGAAATTAATTTAACATCAAGTTAAAGAACCAATAAGGTATGACAACATGGAGCATGGAATCGGTGACAGAGGATTGTTTCGCCCACTGAGGTAGCTGTGTGAGCAATGACGGTAGAGCAACAAAGGACGTAACTGCCAGCATTTCCAAGGGTCAAGCAGCGTGCGCAGGACTGAAACACCCGCGGAAGCATCGTACAGCGAAATACAGTGAGGCGAAATTCACTGATTGCTCCTGCGTAGACGCGATATTTCACTAAATTTAAAGGGTCGTGCATAGTATTACATGGTTGCGAGCCCTTGAATTTGCGAGTAGAAGTATTCGATCATCGATTTTTACGTAGTTTGGCTCACATGGAACAGAAGTGTGTTTGGGAGTTTATCCAGGATAGATCTACTAGCACATCGGATTCATATTAGTAGGCTTCGCTGGTTAGCAAAAATATTGCGTATACACAGCTGCCGTCTACTACACCGCACCTTACTCGCTGTAGCCACTCCGAGCTGGAGGAAAGTAATTGAAGGACGTGGTGAAGAGGCACGGAGAAATGCACAAAACAATTAGGTGGAGTAGGCGTCTCCCATCTTCCAGGATAGAGTCAAAAATTAACTGGTTGATTGGAGACGCTGAGAGATATGGCAGCCAAGCGACAGCAATGGCGTTTGTACTGTCACGTTTAATCGCACCGGGATGCTTGCATGCATATGCACAGTTGTGCTGTGTATTGACTATTGACGTTCGTTTTCTTTTTCCTCGATCAAAGTAGGTCCAACCCCTGTTCGCCTAGCATATTACCCCCAAAATCTTTGGCATCATGAGTTTCGCAACGACCAGTGAAGTTCGCTTCGCTAGACTTCGTNGACTTCGTTGTACAATGGGAATGCTTGGTTAGACAGCAAGAAGGTTAACAGGTCAATGACTGTGATAAGTAAGCATAAGATAAGCTTACCTGCAGCCCACATCCTTTTTTCCGCTGAAGTCGCCTCGTTATACGTTGCAGATCCGGTACACGACGGAGAAAATCATCGTACAGTGCCTGTCTCACACCGGTTTCTACAACAAACGAGTCCACCATGTCTAGGCGCTCATCTACAGTGAAAACGAAATCAAATATCATGGAGTTTCTCGAGTTTCATTTTAGTTTTAAACTGCAATATTGTATTTACCAAGACGCTGTTTGAAAATCATGAAAATTGAGAGTTTATTTAACCTCATGTATGTAAGTGAAAAAAATGACACGGGAGTTGAACTAGTCACTATATCGGAGAAAGGCGTGATAATCAGAAAAAATGGTGGCAACTTCTATAGTATTGCATCGATCAAACTTAAAGAATATGAAGTAACTGATATCACTTCATTGTTATTATCCACTGCATATTAATGTGTTTGAAGAATACAGCTGTTAGCCTTGTAGTGCTTCTGTGTTGGAACAGAAAACCCAGTTGAACGAAAATGAGAATAATCTGGAAGGGAAAAAGGCTCACACGTCACTGCAATCCACCTTGTAAAAATTGTAAACCACAGCAGTCTTTTATATTCGCACTAACATCCTATTCCAGTCAGCTTATTCGATATTCCCACATGGAAAAAGTTCGGCAAATTCATGTGCATGACTTTACAACAATATCGCTTTCAATGTTTGGCTACTGACAATTTGGTAGTAGCTGTAACGCGACCATCGAAAGAGCCTTATTTTTGATTACTTTAAACTGCTTGCAGAGCGACAGCAGCAGAAAACAGCATCTCGATAACGAGGTAAAATCTGCAAAATTGGGTGACTATAGGTGACTATACTTCGTCTGCAGATACTGTACATTGTTGCTGTTCCATGACTCCGAGTGGACGCGTTTCGAGAACACTGAGTGAATGGATAAGGAGCGATACAACAAATGCTAATGTAGAGACAGTTGGATATGCGGACCAATAACTTGGAACGGCAAGTCCCCAAAGCACGATCTCAAAGTTGTTGATCTATGAATGAAAGACGACTCCCAACCAACTCTGCATGAGTTGCTCTGAGTGCGGATACCTAACGCTGATTGATCTGAACACACCTGATCCGTGAAAAGAACACTGAGGGACTAACAGAGTTGATCATCATTCACGTCTACCGAAACATTAACAAGGATAGTGTACACTGGTGACAGATGATGACAAGCGAAAGTTCAAAGTAAAAAACACTCCAATTTGTAGGCAGACTCGATAAGAAGTAGGCCTCAATGATACGCCGCGATTCACCGCATCTCGCAGTTCAGGGCACGGAGGAAGATTCGGTGACGTTGTTTTCCCTACGGAGAAATTGAAAACCCCAGGGTTGTTACACATGCCTTGTATAAACCTTTTAGACCACAGACCACGTTATCACCCACCGTAACCATCATGAAAATTGGAGGAAGGGCATTTGAGACCAATGCCAATGAACAAAGGGTGGATTATTCCGATTAATTAACAGAAAAGCGTACGATACTTTACCATTCTATAAAGCACCTGTACCAATCGGGAAAACAGGTTGGTATTGGCTAGGATGTTTGAGTCACAGTCGTCAACCGTGGTGTTTGTGCATCTTCTCAATTTCTTTGCATCTTTAGTCCACCAAAACTCTCCATTTTCCCTTCCATTCAACCTTCCTGTCTTTCTCCTGCTGTTTTATCCAAATGAGCAGCCAAGACACCTACCAAAACCGGCGCACGAAAGTGTACGGTAATGGTTGCACAAGCTGAAAATGAAACAGTCGTCAGAGCGTATCGTTTTTCAAATGCCAAAGTTTGAATCTCGTTGCCATCAGCGGTGGACTGAAATCAACAGGGTCAAGACTAAGTTCAGCCCATATGAGATTCGCCAAAAGTAAGTCTCAAATCGCATGAAGCTGGTTTCTATAGTATGCCAGCCAGTCGTAAATCATGCTGTGTTTAATAACAGGGAGAATAAGGGCGCACATACGTAAACAACAATGTAAAAACGAAATAAAGTTCATTTAAGAAATAATTGTGTTTACCTATTTTAACCGGATCAGTGAGGGGTTGACGAAGCCATTGGGCGAGAAGACGCTGACCTTGAGCAGTACGACAGTTGTTCAAGACACCAAATACGCTATGGTATTTGTTTTCTGCAAGTGTGGAAATTCGGATTGGAAATGAAAAACTAGAATGACCGCGAATGCGAAGAAAAATTGAAATCACAGTGATATGCTGCATCGGTCTCGCTCGCGGTATCGGACTTCGCATTATGGCTCCAGTGGATAACTACTATCAAATCGGTAGCTGGAAATTTGAATTACCGGTTCGTTTACGGTGCACACGCAGATCTAGTTTTCGATTGCTGTTTATGGGAAGTTGCTCCCCGTGACACTTAGGCAGTCGGTCCATTCCGCATAAAACCACAGTGCGTACATCGCTATCAATGTGGAAATGACAGTGCTAGAAAATAACCAAGATGCATTGCCTGAAACTTAAGTAACGTTTGGTTGTAAACAGTAGCATTATTAAAGTTGTACCATACCATTATCATACATCATCACGCACCACAGTGAAAGCAACATTCGGTCATGGAACTGAAATATGATTTTTTTTCTCGTGTGTGAATATCTTGACATTAGACATTATGATACAAACTGTGATGCATCACCTAAAGGAGGAGACCATCGAAAACGACCTTGTTGGTTACCACGTTTTTCTTATAACATTGCCTGTCGCATAGTATAACACTTCGGTAAATAAATGGAATGAAGGTAACTAGTCGTCTATTTTTTACTTTGAATTGAACTAAGACAAAAATCGATTACCATAAGTGCTCGAAGGTAATAGGGTACCTAAAACCTAAGATCGACGGAGCCGTGAATTGGTGGGCACTGGTATAGGGCAAAAAGGTCGCGGACAATCAGCGACTACGCCAGGGGAAGTGACAGTTTTTCACATGATAAGTGATTCGGCTGCAAGAAAAGCCACAAGTGATTGTGACGTGTGAATCTGATTAACATAAGGTTATCGTTATTATCCTAATGCTCTACGGCTAGCACTGATCTGTGAAAAAGCCAGAGGCGCGAAGAAAAACTGTTAGTGGTGTACGGGATGCCATTCCGTACTACCAATCCAATACTCTTCATGTATCATTCCACGAAGCCGATCTGACGTCAGCTAGAAGAATATCACCTAAACGTACCCATGTATTCAACATGGATCTGGTTTCGCCTATTCCGGTAGAACGTATGTTGAGATGAACGTGTGATTGAGATTTATAACGAGAAGCTAGACCAAAACACGGTGCATTCGAAAACCACTTTTACATTGTGAATGCTGGAAAGTGAACTCGTGGCATGAGCGCGTGACGATGCAGCTTCGGCCGGGTTAAGACCGAGACTGACTTTCCCAGATTCGTGCACCAGATCCTTCGATGTCTTGAACCAACCAATTGCAGTCCTTTGAACCCT